GAGGGGTCTTGAGCTGAGGAGTAGGTGTTTCCGAACCTCGCTAAAATCGCTGAGTACTTGTTTGCAATCTCTCTCTTTATCTCTTACATTTATTGCTTAAAGTTTAGCATGAATAATTTCTTGATAAATGTTATTAGTTAAGGCTTAAAATTCTGATTGCTTTATTGAACAACTACTGAAAAAATTAGCTTGGTACTTGTATATTAATTGAAATTAAAAATTGACCATTGTTTGCCAAAACTCTATTCACCCCCCTCTAAAGTCATTACTTGGGCAACAGTCTTATATATGGTTGATGGTTGATTGATCTCTATATTGAGTACCTTTTGTAATTGTATTTAATGATGGCCATGCATTAATTATATTGGATACAATTGTTCTTAATTTGATGAATTATGCTTCGTCTTGATGGATTATGCTACACCATTGAAATAATTATAGTTAGGTGGATAATTCATGCTTGATTTTGATAGTTCATACTTATTCATTGTAATTGTAGTATTTGCTTGCTTATTGATGTGTGATTCTCACAACCACCAGCGGCGCCACCGTCGCCAACCCACACCAGCAGAAACGCCTCCACCACATCCTTCTACCCCCTTCCATCAAAACCCTAATTTCCCACCTTCTTCACTGAGGTTAGATAACTGATGGGTCTTTGCTAATTGAATCCACAACCTCTTACGACACGACGCTGACAACAGCGGTGAAATCCTAGTCAAACGTCAGTGTGGTCGATTCAGTTTTAGGATTCCGGCCGAGATCCATTAATATGACATAAGAAAGTTCATGAAGGACTGATAAGGAAAGGTAGGGCAGGTTATGTTTGTATCCTTTGGCCCTGAATCACCGCTTCAACCACTCGCCAGTTGTACCACTTTAATTCGTGATTCTCAACAATCTGAATTTACTAAATCTTTACTAATTTGATTAGGTCTTATGGGTTTGGGTTTAATATTTGGGTTGCAGTTTGATGCGTGTAAGTGCTGGTTTCACGCCGCTGGCGTCTATCTCTGACAAGGTTCGACACTCGGCTTATGGAGTCGACACTGCCGGTGGACGAGAAAATGAATAAGCAAGAAGAAGAGAATGAAGAAAACGACGATTGTTTATTATATATTCACGGTCATTCCACAAATTCACGGCCAAACAGCTGGTGAAGTCAAACTTAGATATACAATAATGGTTTGTTGTACCCAATTTGGAAGTAATGGGTATGATGTATTTGATGAATTAGATGCCCTTGTTTGTAGGATTGAGAGAAATAATAATACCATTTTTTTTTTTTTTTTTGAGGTTTTGTAATCCGGACAAATTCTTATCAAACCACACCAAATGCTGGGTATATAACTGTATATATATACATATATATGTGGGATCATATTCCCATATTCATCATCATGATTTGAATATATATATATTCTTATGTTCTAAGATTTTTTTTTTTTACTAGTGGATAATTATCCAAAAAAGAAAGGTACTAGGTGGAGAGATAAGGGGAATGAGAAGGGTATATTTGTCCATTATTGTAAGATTTTTTTGTCATTTGATGACATTATAAGGGTAGTAGTGTCTTTTTACTTAGTTGATGGATATTTTAGTCCATTCAATAATTTTTTCTAACAAAAATGATTGAATTTTGTACCCAGGGGAGGTTTTTGCTAAAGTGGTTAAACCTTAGGGGGTCACGTTGCAAAAAAATGCAAACCTCAGAGGAGGTCATTGTAATTTACCCTTAATTTTATCTTGCCCCATTTTACTAGTGTGTGTGTGTGTGTGTGTAAAGCTTTATGTTCATACAAATCCTAAAGTTATCATAGACTTTATAAAATAAATAAAAATAAATAAATAAATAAATAAACAATGTTGGTACATGGATACGGTGATCATTTATTTATTTATTATTATTATTAGTTTTTGTAACGGAGAATCAACTCATATATTAATTATTTTAAACTTTTGGATGGTTTGTAAATCACGAATATTGTATGTGCAATCACTAATAAATTATACATATCATTTAACTATAATTATTTTTATATCTTGTGAGAATCGAACCCAGAATGGTAATTTTTTTTTTTTTGTTACAACATGAACTATTTTAAGAGGCATTTTTTGATAATTAATAAAAGAATAGAATTACCACAAGTAAATCATAATTAAGTGGGACATTGAAGACATTTTTTTACTTAGGGTAAAAAAATTATTCTAAGGCAAATATACATACATATATATATATATATATATATATATATATATAATGACACCAAAAAGGAATAACACTATTTTTTTTTTCTTTTTTTTGATGGTTGGTTACGGGGAGGGAGAGAGAGAGAGAGAGAGGAAAATGGGTTGGGAGGGGGGATTATACACATTATGTGAGAGGGGCAAAATGAGAAGAAAAAAAAGGGTAAAATCGGATTTTTATTTTACTTTTTGTCAAAAAGTGATCAGAGAGGGTTTGCACCTTTCTTTAAAAATAAGGACTGCCATGCACCTTTCTTTAAATATAAGGACTAACAGTGCTCATGTTTGAAAAGGAGGGAGACATTGTGCACAAAACCTAATTATTAGAAGGTTTTTTTTGCACTTACCTTTTTTGTTATCATAAAAATCATATATTTTGTTTGTGAGTTGTAATAATTTTTATTTTTATTTTTATATTGTTGAATATCTTTATTAAAAAAAAGTTATTTGATAAATTTGTTAAAAATAATTATCAAAGCACAACAAAAAAATTTAGGTGAAAAATCAATTAAATGAATAACCAAGTCTTCTAGAAGAGTAATTATACATTAAAGAAAGAAAAAGATAGTAGAGACTAAATGTGTGATAAGAAAAATCTTTATGAAAAACAGTAAAAAAAGAAAAGGAAAGAGGTGAAATAAAAAAAAATCATATTATATTCCCAAAAATATCTATGACCTGGACAATGAAAATATATTGATCCAAAAATAAGAGATACATTAGTAAAATATAGTCAAATTAGATTTAATAATTCAATTATCCTAAAGATGAAAACTCTAAGCATTTTTCAACTGCATACTATGTTCGAAATTGAACCATGTATTCAAAAGATTTGGATAGAATGTTTTGGTTTTGTCACAAGTTATTTAATTCAAAGTAATATTCAATTAACTAATAATAACCAACAGGTCAGGCTTAACGGAACCAAGTCCCTACTTTTCAAATAGAAATCAGGGGTTCGAGCATCTGTGGAGGTATGTGTGGGTGAGTATCGACTAGGAAAAAAAAAAAAAAAAAAAAAAAATTAACTAATGATAAAATCAGAGATCGAAAAATTCAAACAACTTTATTTATTTCGCCTCAGCCCTCAAATTATATTAACCAGCTTTACTAAACATAGTCCAAGTAGTTGCCATAATCGGCCTACATAGTATTACTTATTTTATTTTATTTTATTTGGATAGAGTACAACACCCCTTGAGGTTTGCCAAAAAGGCACACCGATGAAACTTAACTTATTTTGAGACAAAAATACCCCCTCAAGTTTGATAGAGCTACCAAAGACACCCCAATAGTAATAAATTGACATTTTTGCCCTTTAACTTTTATATTGACCAATTTAAATGTTGAAATGACCCTTCTAACCTCTAATCAATATGTGTAAATGGCAGACCCATACCCATATCTTTCCTTCTCTCCTCTCTCCATTCTCTTTTCCTCCTCTTGCCGCACTAACACACACACACACACATATATATATCCACATACATATATATGTACAGATACATGAGAACTGTATGTACAGATACATGAGAACTGGGTTTTTTCCCAATAGTTTTACTTTCCCACAGCTTATTAATTCTTGTGCGAAGATGGGTTGCTCGAAATCGGGACGAAAATGTCATGGCCAGGCGGTTAAGAATGGCGTTGATGGCGTTTTGCCTGTACATAACTCTTTAATTTATCTGTATGCTTGTTGTGGGATTATTGATGTTGCTTAGTAGGTTTTTGAAGAAATGCTTGATAGGGACTTTGTGTCGTGGAATTCAATTATTGATGGATTTGCTAAGTTTGGTAATATGGATGCAACACATAAGTTGTTTGTTAAGTTTGGTAATATGGATGCAGCACATAAGTTGTTTTAGGGAAATGGTGAAAACGGGATTGAGAGGCAGCGACACTACTATTGTGATTTGCTAACTGCTTGTGGTAGGTCAGCCAGACTGAAGGAAGGAAGATCAGCTCATGGGTCTTTTATCAGGACAATTTTTAGTTCAAGTTTGATTATAGACACGACTTTGATAAATATGTACAGTAAATATGGAAGTGTAGACGTTGCTCGAATAATTTTTCATAGGATGTTAGTGAGGAATTTGATTTGTTGGAATGCAATGATTTTAGGGCATTGCATTCAAGGGAATCCAAAAGATGGCCTTGATCTATATGCAGAGATGGTGGGCATCGCTAGATTGGAAGATGGAGAAATCAATTTTGACAAGAATATAAAGCAAGAACAAGGACAGAGAATTATAACCACCATATGTTTGGGTCTCCACTGGTTTGGACAGATAAATTTTATGATTAATTTGGGAAAGGTTAGGGTATGGATTGGACTGCAACAAAGAAATAATGGTGGTGGTGTGAGAGCAATTGCGTTTTTTTTACGATGTATGATATTTTATAATAATTCTGATTTTAATATTAAAGGGTAATTATATCTTTAAAAATATTTAAGGTCTTATTTGATTAAAATTTCATACAAGGGTGTCTTTACCCCAAAATAAACTATGTTTTATGTGTTTATCTTTTTGACAAACTTTAGAGGTTCTTTCCCTTTTTATTCTTCTTTTTTCTTCTTCTTCTTTTTTTTATTTTTATTTTTTTATTTTTTATTTTTTATTTTTTAACTATGAGTCTGATGTTGTCAGGTTTTCCCTTGGAAACTGCCACCTGTCAGTTCCCAACCCTTGACAATAGACGGGTCGCGCAACCGTCAGTTCCCGGTTCGAGTTCCAGTTCCCACCCAACTAGAGTAGATGTGTACTACACTACTACTCCGTACATTTCTACACATCGACCTTCAAGTTTTCAAAATTTAAAACCATGCTTTCTAGGGCTCAAGAGTCTTTCTCATGTACACAACTCAAGTAAGCGTCCCTTCTTTTTTCTCTCTCTATATATAAGTTAGTATATATCTATATATGTATATGCATCAGTAAATAGTGTTTGTACTTCAACTGCAGTTGATTCTTTCAGTAATTTGTGTTTTGTGTTTTGGTTCTGGTTGTATTGTTGATATTGTGCAATGCTTGTTTGTATATCTACAGAAAGATTGGAATTTTCGATGGTATAAGGTGGATTTTGCGGTGAAGATCTAGTTTTGCCCTGATAGGCTTTAAAAATTTAGGGTTTTTATTTTGGGTGAGGAGAGAAAGATGGCTGGTGAAGAGAGAGAAAGTAACGGTAATACTATGTTGTCTAGTATGGTGGATATGGGGTCAAGTAGTGATGCAGTGAATGGGTTGTCGGTTGGAACTGAAAATGGCGGCGGTAGTGGTGAAGGGAATTCTGTGGGATGTTGGAGTGAGGGGCTTCAGACTTACAAGAGGCGGAAAAAGAAACATACAAAGGAGAGTAATTCAGAGACCACATTGCCTGAGCATGGGAAGTTGTATGTGGAATCTCCTACTCAACATCAAAATAAGGTTTGCTCTCTTTATCAAAACATTAAGAGTATGTGCCTGTGTTTGATTATATTTATGCATTTATTTGTACTTTCTTTTGTTTCTCGTCTCACTTCCAATTTTTTGATTATGACATTGTCACTGTTTGTGAACCTTAACACATCCAAAGATGGAATATGAGGATTTGGTTGGAGTTGGATAGAAGTGCTGGTGAATGAACTAAAACATATCAAAAATTCGTATATGGGAATAATTCGTATGTAGGACATATGTTCAAACTAGGTCTTTGTTGCTTATGAAAAAGAAGAAGGGATAAATTGTCCTTGGAAAAAGAAATACCTAAAATTTTGTACCTTTACCGCTAAATGCAATTAGAAAATGTTCAAATTTTGAGATTCATCTAAAATCTCTATTGAGCAAAAATCTCTACACTTCTGAATATGGGGATCCTTATAAATGAGTTTATATTTTTCTTGGCTTAAATGTTAAGTATATGGAGGTGTACTTGAAATGTTCTTTGGATTACTATGCTAAAACACTAGTTTCACATTCACTTGTTTGTTTGAATGGATTTGTTTTATTCTATCAATTTGCAGGATATTTTCACAACCCATAATCATTTATATGTTTTTCTGAAATGTTTATTTATTTTTAAATGCTGCTGTTGATTTTTGTTGGTAACTATCATAATTTTATTACCATAATGATGCTCAAAATTTTCTCATTGACAACACATTAAGCAACCTTGCACAACTTGAGAGGATAGGCATCTAGTCTGTGAAGCATAAACAACTCCACATGAGATGTCACCTAGTATATAAAACGTTAACAAGCACAAAGAATAGGGAAACAGATGCCCTAGGGGAAAACACCCTGCCTAAAAAGGACAATCTATAATGGGCCTATCATACAAGTATACAACTTAGCAAAATACAATCCCATAAAACAAAAGGAACGTCATCCTAAGGATGAAAGGAGGCTCAGACACACCCGACTGAGAAAACCCCAAACAGATTGGTGCCTACGAGAAGTTAAAGCTTCCGATTCTCTGCAGAAAAAAACAGAAAGCAATTAAGAGGCTGAAATGGAGATATTTTGACCCGTGTGAACCATTTTTTTCTCCTTCAAATTAATGGCTAACAAGCCATGTGTTAGAATCTAGCATCAACATGCTTTGTTCCAACTCTTAAGTCTGGATTTTATAAAATGTTGATATGAGTTGGATGAAGTGGTTCATGACTACAGTGGTGAGGGAATATTGGGATGATTGGAGACGATTAGAATGAATGTAAATAAAGGAGAGAGGTAGGATATTACAGTGGCACTATTCCTCTACCAACCAACTTGTCCTTGGTGCTGATGTGATACCAGATTTATAACTGTTTTGCACAGGATAACTTAAAGAATAGCAGCTAGGCGTGGTTAGTGCCAACTGTCCCTTCTCCTTTCTTTGGCGTGTGGCATTCACTCATTCACTCACCTCACCTCACCTAGCCTCTAAGCTAGTTTTGCATGCCATAAATCCAAATTCCCATTTGGTACCCCGTTGCTAGATCATCATGGTCACATAATGGGCACGGCATTTAGGAAGCATGCCGACAATGCTACAACGGTTTATGATCCGTTCTGGTTAGCTGGTACTCATGCTTCTTTAAGTCGGATTGCAATTATACCGCAATAGGACCAGCACTCTGAGGCAACATCAATCTTCTGTGATTTTTCCATATGATCACTCACATACGCCATGTGACCTAGTAGAGCACTTGCAATCCCGATCTTAAGGGCATGTTGTGATCCTGGGATTACACTGTTGGGAAGAATACGAACATGGTTTGCTTCCCATGTCACAATTGCGAACCTTAAGTCCTTAACCGAATGCTGCCTCGTGCTTGGGAATTGGGTTATATTTTTGTACCTGAAAGAGGGAAAAAGATCTTGCCCTCATACTCACTGACTGTTCACCATGCAAGTAGCAGTAGGCGATGCCTTGACCAGTTGCACCTTAAACCTCTCTTTGACCGCACGTATGGTTTTGCTGTATGTCATCAGTAGCTGAAGCTATTCTTGAAGCACACATCATCTTGCCCAATATCGCTTCAGACAAAATGGAAATACTTATGAGCTTCAAGTTCTACTGAACTAGAACAATGAGCTTCAAGCCAGGGAAAAAGCGTAATCTTCTACACCAAGGGTACAAAGGTTAATTAACATATGCACTCACCAAATTAACGTTATTGCATTAGAGTTTTGAGATTTCATTATTTGATTTGAAAAACCTTAATTGTTATGCATCAAAAGTCTTTTGAAAACTCTTTTCTTAAGTTATTTTTAGTGTTGGATTCCTAAGCACTTAGATCGATCGATGGTTACTAGAGTCATGCTGATCGATCTACATTTCTCTCAATCGTTCGAGCTATTCAAGAAAATAGTTTCCTTTCAGATTGAAACACTAAAACCCTATTCTCTCTAGAACTCTGTTTTGTCTATAAATACACTTATCAATAGTACAGACCCTGAGGGATATAGAATATACTGAGAGATAGGTAAGTTAGAGAGATTTGCTGCAAAATTGAGTGCATTCATATATATATATATATATATGTATGTATGTATTAGAATTCATCAATTGCAGTAGATTGGTGAGTGCTATATTAGTGTGTCCTATAATTTGATAGATAGATGAGTCCGACCCCTAGACACACACCCTGTCCGACACCTGTACCCGAGTGTGGTTAACATGGGTGGTGACATCATAATTGCTTTGGAGTTGATTTGAAGAAGTTCAACACCAGCAATCATTCAATCAAACTGAGATTGGAGTGGACAACTAGTCTATAGATCAAAATTGCTATTGAGGAAGCAGATTTGTGAGGAGCAAAGTCTGATGACGGAGTGGATTGTTTGCTTAGAGACTTGAGTAAAGAGTTTGATGGATCAGGTCTGTGTCAAGAGGTAACTAGGTGTTCTGGGGTATGTGAACTTTAACCTAATATAATATCTCGTTCTAACAGTGGATTATCTGACTGAGTTTGGTCCCATGGTTTTCCCTTTAGGTTTTTGTCTTTTTTTTGTCTTTTTTTTTGTCTTTTTTTTTGTTTTTTTTTTTTTGTCTTTTTTTTTTTTTTTTTTTAACATTAAAATCTTGGGGTCGGTTTGATTCAGTTTTCTGATTTTCAGTTCTTTGGAAATTAGAAAACCATACAAAAACTTGTTTGATCGTTAGTTTTGTAAAAATTGTTTTATGAGAACTCCGTTTAAAAAAATAAAAAAAAATTACTTTTTTCCCCCAGAGAATTATCTCTTATAGTTCTCTGATTACAGTTTTCTGTTTTATGAGTTCTTGAGAACTGTTTTCAGAAAACTAAACCAGACAAACCCTTGGTGTCCTTTCTTCATGCTCCATACTGCTTTAATTTACTACTGTTTAAATGTTGTTCCTGATTAGAACTCAATATTTAGGTGTGATTTAAATCTTAAATTTCAGTAATTGAGTTTAAAACTAATAACTCTTTATCAGAGCCTAGGGTTAAAACTCGCTGAAAACAAGGTTCATGGAAAGTGTAGTTGTTGTATACATATATGTGGACCATGTTGAGTGTTTTAATGTTATTAGAAACGCATCGAGTATATCATTTTGGTAAGATGACATTGAAATCAATGTTTTCCCAGTATGAATATTATTTAGACAGGTACATACAAGGTGGTCAGATTTAGTTATCATAAGTTCAAATAAATGTATGTGGACAGATATAGCTATCATAAGTTCAAATAACCCTATTGTTTTTGTGTTGGCTTCTTTACTTTCTTCATATCTACCATGTAATCTTTTTAGTAGTACCAGATACCCTTTTGATAGTCGAATGATATGGAAATTTGAATGTTTTGTGTACAGTTGCACACTTGCTAATATTGGTTTTTGGTTTCTATAGGCGTTCCTATTCTTGAAAAAAAGTTCATTTATGATGATTTTTTTTTTTTTTTTTTTTTTTTTTCTTTTTCAAAAGTTTCTTTTATGGAATTTTTTTATATGCCTTGACAAAATTTGGAGTTGCGGCGAGGAAAACAATTATCTGTTTGCTTCATAGAGAATGTAGACTCGTGTTTGACAAAATGTGGTTCTGACGGGTAATAGAGAGAGGTGTAGTTGGTTGTCATTAAATACTGCTGCAATCCATTTTCAGTGATATGTGAAAATTTGTGCTGAGGAAATTTAATTTCAAGTGTCTTGTTTACTAAAGACCTATAATAATAATATTCAGGGAAAAAAGAAGACGACCTATAATAACATAATACAAAAAGAAATATAAAACCAAGTGATGTTGCAGTATGTTATCGTACTTAAAGTTAACAGTGATTAGGGAATATGTTTTTGTATTTTCTACTTCCATTTAACTCTCAAGTGTTCTGCGTGTGCTCCCCCTCAACCCTCTCCTCCTGTTCCTGAAGTTGTATCTGGTGTATTTGGTATTTCTGCAGATGATAAAAGAACCATTGGACAGGGTTTTACAAAGTAGTTCTTGTGATCAAGTCTGTCTTCCTAGGATGGAGGCGCATGTTAATAATAGTTTAGATGATTGCCCACCCCCCAAGCACTGGAGAAGGGTTGTACTAGAACACATTTACCAGTCATTAGGTGAAAGTGACGGCGGTATACGGGGATGCGTTCAAGATGCACTCTTGTTTCATACAGAAAGCGGTTGCATAGCCACAGTTAAGGTGTGTTCTGTCCCCATAACTGCATTGGTGTCGGTGTTATTATTTGGGTTATGATCTACCTCTCTTTTTGTTTGTTTATTCTAATTTTTGTTTCATTTTTAGGAATCTGTTAATTTTCATGAAGATAGGGAGAAATTATATTCTCAAACGGGGTGGGAGCTCAATGGAACTCAGAGTGCAGCTAAAGGGCACGTCGGTGTTGTGTCCAATGGATCACTTGATGAATCAAATTGTACAGTCACTAAGTTGTGTCAATGTGCTTTCTTTGACATTATAATATCAGAAAAGTTTGCTCAGTTATGTAACCTACTCCTCAAAAATTTCCAAGGAATGAAGGTTGACAACTTTTTTGACACAAGTTTTATAAATTCAAGGATGGAGGAGGGAACTTATGAAAGTAAACCTACACTTTTTCATTCAGATATTCAACAGGTACTCTTTAGTTCTTAATGTTATAGTTTTTGTAATTTGCATATCTCGTGTTATTTGTATACAACTTAACAACAAACCCACACCCCCACCCCCGACAACCCCCCCCCCCCCCCCCCCCCCCCCCCCCACACACACACACACACACACACACACCCCCACCCACCCACCCACACAAACACACTTGTCACCAAAACCCCAAAAAAAGAGAAACAATTGTTGGACTAGTTCTGGTTGTATCTATGATCTTGCCGAATTGTAGCATTTCGTAAAATTAGCAACACATTTTTAAGTTCCATAAATGCTATACTGGTATCTTTTTTACATTTTATTTAGGTTGGTATTAGAGAATCTCTATTTCAAAGGAGAATTTATGATCTTGTAAATGTTACATTACATGTCGTATTAAGTGAAAATGCCACCACTGTTCTTTTCTTATAATTTCTATGGGTGTTTGGGCTCATGGTGCTTGTGCATCTTATTATTCTACATACATGGATTGAGTACTAGTTTCTGTCATAGGTACATGTCTAGGAGTTTGACTCATTAATTTCCCAACTTATAGAATAAAAGGCCCACCATTTCGGGGTCTTAAAAGCAGTCCAAAAATTTGGTACGGTTCATGGGCTGCTCATGGTACACTATTTTTTTTAATCTTTTACTATCCTACTAAGCTCTTCTTATTGATGGCCAAACATATATAATTGGTCAAATGATGCATGGTCATTTCATTTATGTTTCCCCTAAAATTTATGACAACTTAGTATGATTAATAGATAAAGAGACAGATTCCCTACACAGGTTTGCAGGGAGAACAAACTGTGCAGTATACCTACTAGGCTACTACTGCTAATAATTTGGTCTCAATGTCTCCATTATCATTGTTCTTCGGTGTAATTTTGTCTTGCTTGTGCGGAAAATTTCTTTTCTCCCCAAAACCTCAGGCCTCAGGGTGTTCATTTCTATAGTAGGCACTCAGCTGTCCTGCCAAACACGATGATTTCTCATTATCTAAAGAGGGAGCTTTGTTTGGCATTCACTTGTGGCGTAAGTGGAAAGTTTCCTGAGGTAAAGTAGAATGTGTTCGGAATCGGGTGGTACCACAATGTCTGCAATGAAGATCTTGATCTGGTATCTATGTCATGTGTACCTGAGTACTATATAGGCAAGTCTAACTCAGGTCTTATATGCAATACTATGGACAGATGATGATGAGTTGAGGTTTCTATGAAACGCTAGTGGGTTGGGATTTTTTATGTTGATTGTAACTTGTAAGATTGAAATTGTGGGATTCTGACGCTGGTTGTCTTTTATTTTATTTTATTTTATTATTTTTATTATTATTATTTTGTTGGAGTTAAATTCTAAAAGCTTAAGTGAAACAATTATTATATTCATGTTGATATTTTAATTTCTAAAATATATTGGTAGAAAGTGCAAAAATTATATCTATTAATCATGAAATGTTAAAAAATATAAATATTCTACAAATATTTTGAAGACAATCACGAGATTCCATATGTCTATATATATTGTGGCCACCATTAATATTTTATAATGTATAAACCATCACTCTGATGATGTCAGATTTTCATTTTATCCTCAAACATGTGGTCCAAGAGAATTATTTTGGCACAAAGAACTTCAAATGGAAACACATTATCTTGTTGTACTCAAGGACTCATCTTCTGCCATAAAAGGATTAAAATTTCTCAAGGATTAATCGGTATCTGTTTGGATCTACATATATATTTTATTATGTTTTCTGTGTGAATGTGTTGAATTTTCTTTCTTTCTTTTTTTTTCCCCCCTTTTTTGGGTGAGGGTTGGGTTTTTTATTCGTCAGCTTCTATTATTCTGGTTCTCTTCCTATTTCAAGCAGTCCATTTTGTTGTTCATATGTCGGAATGCAATGTAATTTACATAGGCATATGCATCTAAGCCTCTGAAAATTAATATACAATGTAGTTGCATAGAATTTATCATGTTTGCATCATAAAGGTAATTCAAGGTCTGGTTTATGATTGCATTTTCTTGGAAGTCCTTTTATGCATGCTAGACTAGCGATATTTCATTTTCTGTCATCCACATATGATTTTTTAGATGGAGGTCAAGTTTTGCTTCTTATGCTGTATATATCTTATACCAGAATAATCTTTGCAGGTATGGTCAAAGATTCAAAAGGTTGGCGTTGAAATGGTTGCTCTTGCGAAAAGTCTTTCAGAAAAATCAAGGACATCTTGTTCTAAATTGGTAAAGATAAATTAACTTGCAGCTGCTCTAAGGATGATTTATGCTCTGGTTGCATGACTGATATCTGCATATTGACATTATTTGTTCATGGTACGTTTCTCTCAACCAAATTCTTTTTTTTTTTTTTCCTTCTTCTTGTCTGTGCAGTTGGGAGACTCGGAACATAGATCTTCAGAAGACGGTAAAGATCAGGTGAATGAGTTTTCAATTTCTTTATAATTAATTGGTTGGATATTTAAAAAAAAAAAAATAGAAAATGAGATTTGATAAACACTTGGTTAGCTCATGTAAATGTCAAAACTATGTTAACTTCAGACATCAGGTGCATATGTAGTGTTCATGCTATTAGAATTCTTAGGCTGTATCTGGTACCTTATGGGAAGATAGATCCAGGAGAAGGTTTATCGGCGCTTGACTAGCTTGTCTTGGAAGCAATATCATATGGCAAATATGATGTTCCTTAACTTTGTGTGATTGAAGATTTAATTGTAATAAGGGTTTCTTTCTCTGCTCCAATCCTGAGACTTCTCCAGCCATTTTCATTATCAATATTGGCTGCCACCAAGATCCTAACATTATTGTAAATTCAGCTGTGATCGGGAACAGCTAAAACCTTAGGTTTATTTATTTATTTTTGGTTCTCTTACTACTTGACCTCTTTTCTTTGTCTTGACCTCTTTTCTTTGTCTATATCCTGGGTTTTATGTTGATTCTGTACCATTTAGGGCATTTTGGTTTGGATATTAACTAAATTTGGAGCATTGGGCAGTGGGAGAATCCTGAATTATTTCCTTGATGGCTGTATTGTGTTTCTATTGAATTAAACATACTTTAGTGAATGTGTTTAAGCTAGCTTGTGCTTTAATGATATCTGTTAACTTCATCCTGAACAATTTGTATTTTTCCGCTGCAAATAGTTTTTTACCCGAGTATCTGACTTGCACTCTGAACTGGAGCTAAAAGAGGCTTGTGGGGTGTACAAAGTTTGCACTTGCCGGCATTGTGGAGAGAAGGCAGATGGAAGAGATTGTCTAGTGTGTGATTCATGTGAGGAAATGTTCCATATCTCCTGTATTGAGCCTGCTGTTGAAAAAATTCCCGTAAAAAATTGGTACTGTGCAGAATGTTCAGCAAATGGGATTGAATCACCTCACGAGAATTGTGTAGTGTGTGAGAGGCTGAATGCCCCTACATCTCCAATTGATGATATTGGAAATAATGTGAAACTGGCAAATGGAGGAACACTTGAAGTGGAACAGAGTTCAAATGGTCTAAAGGGAGCTGCGCTTCAAATATTAGAAGGAGACGAAAATTCATGTCGTTGCAAAGTGTGTTGGAGTGATGTAAAAAATGTTGAAAAGTTCAGGATGTGTGGTCACCCCTTCTGCCCTCACAAGTACTACCATGTGAGGTGCTTGACTAATAAGCAGTTAAAGACGTACAGCTCCTGTTGGTACTGCCCTTCTTGTCTTTGTAGGGCTTGCCTCAATGATAAAGATGACGGTGATATTGTTTTATGTGATAGCTGTGATCACGCATACCACATTTATTGCTTGCAACCACCACGCACTTCAGTTCCCAGGGGAAAGTGGTTTTGCAGAAAATGTCAGACAGATATCCGACGAATACGCAAGGCAAGAAAAGCATATGAGAAAATACAAAATAAACTAAAAAAGAGTGGGGAAGAAGGAAAAATCTCCAATGAGAATTATGAAAATGAACATAAAGAGAGATGTGAAGAAGCAGTGGATAAATCTGGTGGAGTGGACATGCTTCTAACTGCAGCTAGGACTCTGAAATATGAGGAGAATTTGACAGGAATTAGATGAAGTATTCAAAAGAAAAATAGACATGTGCAAGGGTGGTTTCTGCAATTTTCCATCATTTATATCACAGAAGATTTTGATTCTGTACGTGCATCTCCAAGTAAAGAAATATGTTTTTGCTGGCATTATTTGTAGTACAGATATTTTGGTAGGCTGTATGTTAGACTAGCTTCTGACTTTTCTGATACATTGGGTGCAATACACTGGTCTGCATAATTTATGTTGCTGATGGTGGCTTGTGAAACTAGGATGTGAAGTTTGTTCAGCAAAAGAAAAAAGATTCAAGAGTCATAAAGTAAGCTGAGTGATCCTCATACAGGCGGTTTTTGAATACCTTTTGGGTTTTGTTTTGTGTAGCACATATTTTCAAGGGATATTAGAAACTAAAATTCCGCATTTTGCTGTAAAATGAAGTAACATTGTCTTTGGAATCTTTTTGATAATTCAAATGATAGGTACTTTTTTTTTTTTTTTTTTTTCATATAATTTGGTCTCCGGATATCTTTATATCGAGTTTTTGTGTGATTTTCCTTTTTGCATTTTCCTTGTCACAGTTTATTTTGTTGGCTGTTTGGCAGAAACACCTCGAGCCTTAATAATTCCGCTTCTGTGGCTGAGCCAAATTGTGTTGCAAGTGTTAACATGGAGATCAATCATGTCTTTATGATGAAATTTCGTGAAATTTTCATGATACTTCAGCAATTTAACTCCTAATTCCAAATATTTAATATGTTGCGTCTAAGAACTATAGCTTCCTAAGTTGATTTATAGGAATTTTCTTGGATAAAATCTTCTGGGACATCACATGATCAATCCATTCAAGAAAGCATGTCTGTATGTTTGTTTGCTTGTACATTCTGGAGGTTTAGATGACATGATCTGAATATCTTGACTACTTGAGGATGAGACAAATATTTTTGGCATGTCTGGGAATTCTTTGATGCTGAAGTTAGTTGGAGTTCTACTAAAAATGATACATAAACTTTGGAACTTTTGATGTTTGCATATCCGGACCATTCGGAGGACATGCAATCACATGGGGTGACGATCACATGATGAAAATTATGCAGAGATCGGACGGTCTCTCATGATTTGATTCGTACGCGTGAGAGTAAGCTGGAGCAGCTTCACGGAAATGACTTCTAACTTGTAAGCCTCTGTTTTTTGCATCTTCAGTCTAGTTGTGTGGCATGCTCCAGGAAGCTAGTTTATAATTTCTTTTATTTCTACTATAGATATAGATCTTCGTCCTTCCTGGCCGTGTGGACCTGTTTTATATGCAATTCCTATTGATTTCCATGAACTTACTAAGTTATAGCATTCCTATTGTTAATTGAATGAGCTTGGATTCTAATAATTTTATTTACATCTGTTTTCCTGAAACATTTTGACATCTTCTGAATAATTTTATAGAAATTAAACGGGTAAATATTAATTTGATTGAATTTGACTGTGTGTGGGTGTGGGAGGATATGAGATCTGGAGAGAGAGACTGGTTGGTAAGAAATAAAATGCAAGTAAATTAGCCAAATTATAAAAAAAAAAAAAAAAAACAAAAAAAAAAAACGGGTTCCATCGAATGAATTAAGTAGGAAATGAACGCAAAGTTGCTATGAATATTGGTGCCCTCCACAGTTCTTTCCAGGCAATCTCTCTCTCTCTCTCTCTATACATATATATACATATACAGCCGTTAGAGTCACCTGGATCTGCAACATTGTCTGTTTTCTTGCTTTGCATATCTTACATTTCTGTTTTCTTGCTTCGCATTTCTTCATTTTCTGGGTGAAAATATGGGGAATGAGAAAATTCCTCCGCCTCGAGGAAAGGTTTTGACTAAAGCTGTGAAGAAGGTGTTCAACTTTGTTAATCCTTTTGGTGGGAAAAAGTAGTAGTAGGGGAACTAAGTCTGGCTAAGTTCCTGTGTCTTGCATATTACTGCTTAACCACATGTTCTTTTGGCCTTTTGTTTCTGTTCAGTGTCGGTGTTTTGTGTCTATTGAAGATGTAAAGGTTGACTTGATTCAAAGTGTGTTCTGTGGGTGTTAAATAGGTATGGCTTAGGATCCTCTTTAATTTAAACTATAGGATGTCTTTGTATACCACTTATGTTGATTGTTGATTGTTGATTGTCTGTATGACATAAATGAGTCCTTGTTAATAAATAGTATTTTGATGATACAGGGTAAACAAAATTAGTATTTTGATGAAGTCTCTCTCTCTCTCTCTCTCTCTCTCTCTATATATATATATATATATATATATATTTATGCATATTCTTTCCGTACTTGTCTGATTTCCTGTTTATGTGGTGGTTATGAAGCCGTAAATGCGGCCAAAAGAGGTAAATAAGGAAATAAATATTGAGGTGGCAAAGCGTGACCACTTGAATTGGGAAAAATAGAAAAGCATGAATGATGGTAATTATTATTATTATTTTTTTACAAAAAAAAAAAAAAAAAAAAGGACAAAAGAGACTTAACCATGAAAATACTACTTCGACGCACAATTGCCAAAAAACAAAAAAGAAAAAAAAGAAGAAGAAGAAAAGTAACTTTCATCAAGTTGGGTTTTTGTTTTTTCTTTTCATCAAGTTGGGTTTTCAAGGCAAAGAGCAGAGATAAAAGGGAGACAGAAGCAGAATACAAAACATGAATTTGTCTTTGTTGGTAGATTTCTTTCATGGTCAAAAAGAAAAAAAGAAGAAGAAAGTTTCACACATATTTTTGTGCTTGAATGTGCACCTTTTGTCATTCCCATTGATTGTTCATACTCATGTTTTTATTTGTTTGATAATTTGTGCTTCTGTTTTTCTTTTGTCTGTGAATTTTTAGACTTGTGCCTTGGAAACCAAACATGTTAAAAAGGTTGTGTTTGGTATATTTAGTAGAGACATCTGAACTAGCAAGTTTATGTCCATGTCTTTGAATGAAGTTTTCTGTGTTTGAACACTATATACTCTAAACTATCATGTATGTTTTTACCATCTTCAAAGCAATCATAATAGTAAATCTGAACAGTAACATATAATATATATAAAATATATTTTATTTTTTGATAAAATTTATACTAGATGTTGATGGTGCATCGTGCATATAATTTGAATAGTTTTGTCAAATAAATTATACTATAGTAATAGAGGACAAAAACATTAGAACTTATCAGTTGATTCGGAATACAAAATTTAATAAGAACAAACTGCTTGAACTGAAAGTGATCAAGAATGAAATAAATAATAAAATTCAAAGCATGTTTTTCATAAATTTTGGTTAAAAATGACAACAAAAAGCTATCAATCTTTTTTATTTTTATTTTTTTTGGTTCTTTTTGACCATGAAAACAAAGACATTCAAGCACAAAAAGTGAATGACGAAAGGGACACATTCAGACTCTTTGTTTTTTTGGGCTAATGGAACATCAGATTGCATGACCGATTCACCCTCAGTGAAGGAATCCGTTGATTTTCTTCCACATTGTCATTGTCTGCCGTGGCTACGTTTTTGGAATTCTTTTGCCTAGGCGGCATGTTTGCAATTCACTCACCCTGTGGATCTCACCGGGTGTACCAAAATGTTGATCCCTTAAATCGGCATAGCCTGTCGATTCATATATTGGTTAGTGCGGACGTGCCAGAACCAATGGTTTGGTTCAAATAAAAAGATCTAGTCTCTTTTTTAGAAAAGTTGTAGACCAAGCGATGAATGAGAGAGAGAAAAAAATAACTCTCAATTGGGTTCCTAATTGCCTTGAATGAAAATAGGACTTTAAAGGAAAAACGAATTGCAATAAAAAAAGGATAAAATTGAAATGAAATTAAATTGGAATGAAAAGCTATGAACACTGCTGAAATTGAATCAATGTTGTTGTCCAAGTATAGACTCTGGGGGGAGGGGTAAATAGAGTCTAAGCAAACTAAGGTCAATTTTTGTATATTGATTTACCAACTAAAGTTAAACTTAATTTCTTTGACAGATATTGAATGATGCAAATTGAATTTTAAGCTTTAATTGTCAATATTTATGAAGAGGCATATCAAGACATGCATGAAGCAATAAATATGAGAGATAAAGATAGAAGTTGCAAACATGTACTCAGCGATTTTAGCGAGGTTCGGAAACTCCTACTCCTCGGCTCAAGACCCCTCTTAAGACTTTCCAATTTACTATGGCTTCTCCTTGCGGGTGGAGAGCAAACCTTTTACAAGAAGCTCTTCCTTGCTTCTAAAAGCTAAGAGAAACATCTTCTCTTAGACTTTCTTAGGCCACACCAGCCCTTACAAGATTTTAACAAGATTGATGAAGTACAAGGTGATCTCTTTTATATCTAAAGTACAAGATTCAGCTTACTATAAAGTGTATATGAATAACTTGAAGCTTAACTCTCTTTTATGATATATGATGTGTGTAAATGATGATGAAAAGCTTTTTGATTGCTAGTAGATCTTTCTCAATAAATGCAACACTCTTTAATGAAGACTACTGGTCATTATATAGACTTTCAGAACTGTCTGATAAGAGTTATAGCTGTTGGACACGCACTTCAAGAAAAATGCTTGTTTGAATTTTGAAAACACAGCTTCGGTCGACCGAAATGAAACACCCTTGTGTTTCGGTCGCCTGAAATGGTTTGAAGCATGGACATCATCCTCTCAGTACTCTTGGTTCGGTAGACCGAAGTAAAGCCCCTTTTTGTTTCGGTCGACCGAAATGATTTCAGCATTCTCAATACTTTTATTTCGGTAGACCGAACTGAAACTCTCAGTTGTTTCGGTCGTCCGAAATGATTTTAAAGATTGAGCATCAGTCTCAAAACTTTTATTTCGGTAGACCGAAATGAAATGAGGTTCTATTTCGGTAGACCGAAATAGCTAGAGGTTTTGGGACAAACTCTTTGTTCATTTCGGTCGACTGATACAATAAGCCTTTCCATTTCGGTCTACCGAAATGGACTTTCATTTTCAAGAACTTGTTCAGATGAAGATTTACTTAAGTCATTTGATCCTTAGTCATTGTGAATGAGTTGATGTGCATGATGTTGGAGAGTTTGAGCTTCAAGATGTTCATATATACTTTAACAAGATTTCCTAAGGAACTCACCAACCTAGCTAACCCCATTTTGATGAGTTATGATGACTTGTCTTTGACTCTTGGTTGCTTAAACCTTTGCTTATGCCTTGGTGATGCTACTTCAGTTTTGCTCTTGTATTGTAGTGACTTGTTTTGATAAAAGCTTTGATCCGTAATTTCACTCAAGAAGACATTAGTGAACATAGAACATCATTAATGAATTATGATCATCAAAAGCCTTGGATTCAAGGTCAACAATCTCCCCCTTTTTGATGATGACAATTCATTGATGTGTTTGTCAAATGAGAATAAGAATGTAAATAGTTCTTCCCCTTTCAATGTGCATAGATTTGAGATTTAGGGTTTACAAATAAGAGATTTACAAATCTCCCCCTTTCCTTGT